TTTCCTCAAAAAAATAAACAGCTGTAAGTGAGCGCTCGTGGTGTTACATTTGTTTATTTCTGTGTGTGGTTGTTCTTTCGGCGCGACGTTGAATATTTATTCAAGACATCACCGACTAGACCAACAGCGAGTTCTACTAGTGTATCACATTTATATTGTAAACTCGGCATATTACGAAAATTTCAGCTCATTATACCGGCCAAGAAGTCATAGCGCAATGTACCATAATAAATGTGCTCTCGCATATTGTGTAACGTTATTATTATATAATTTGTTCGCCTTCAAAAGCGGTGTAACTACGCTCTATGTTCAGATGCTTCTGCAGCGGCAACTATCTATGGAGAGGGATCAGGTGCATTCCTCAGCTTACTCTCCGATCACGGTCTGTGTGACCATTCACGCAAACAAAAAATGCCATCAAGTTCGAGTGCCACTCTAAATGAAAATAATATTTCAGTGTAGATTTTTCTGTTCTTCATTTGCATTTGGTATTTAACAGAGGCTCCTAAGTGCAAATGAGAAAGCGCGATACTCGTTCAAGCACCGTGATTCGATTACGGCGGAATGAGCCTTCCGTCACGCCCTGTTTACATACATCACAGCCAGGCCACAGAACCAAGACAAATTTATTGTTTGGGAAAAGAGCACGGTGCCTAGAACAAAAAACTGAAGCATTTGGGAGCGCCGCTATATTTGCTGCTACGAGTACTTACCACAGGTTTGTTTGAGAATGCAGCCATGCCAGTATACGGTCCTGCCTCAACCCTTATTGTTAGTGAAGTATTAGTCCCGCTTACCAAACTCGGTATTCCTTATCTGCCTGTGGTGTGCTTTGTTTTTATGACACACGAGGGAGTACGAGTGCTTAGATTAGTGCGCATACATAACGTACCAAACAAGGCACCTATATTATAAGTTAACGTACAGGCACTTTGGGTAACCGAGCAGGCTTCCATTTTTTTTAATGCTTTCCGCAAATAAGAGTACTGCAGAGGTTGCCGTCATACCGAATGTCTTGTTTGCCGTATCAGTACATGGCTTCTTGCTTCCTTTACTAAGCAAGTATAATTATTGTGAATGGTAGCAACGGGCTTCGCATTGTTCCACATTGCACGCCCGTGCCACCATTTACGAATGCTTCCTTCTCGTTAACTTTCTTACGACTACAATCTCGTTTCCTTTGTTTGCCATGTTGTGAAAGCCACAGTTGTTGGCAAACGCTCGACGATGGGTAAGCAGTTTTCCTCGACCGAATCATCTTTCGTTTCGATTTCGTTCTATTCATCTTTTCTAGGACGATGACTGTGTTTCTAAGTGAATAAACTTGCCAAATATATTAACACCTCTAAATGGAACACAATCGCCACAGAACACTCTGCAGGCAAGTAATCTGTGCATGTGGTAGAAAACGGGCGAAGAGCGTTTGCGAAAGCAATGAATCCAAGTGGAGAAATAGAATTTGCTTAGATAAAAAAGAAAACAACAACTGAAGCATTATTCTTATGACAACCGAAGACGGGAAAGTGTGCCACAGAAAAGCCGTTTGGACTCCATAGATAACGATGGGATTACTTCACTGGGTTCCGGCATTTTTCGCCTATAGACGAAGAATGCCGGAACCCAGTGAAGTGATCTCCTCGTTATCTATGGAGTCTAAACGACTCTTTGAAAGTTACGCGAGACCCAGTGTGATCAGTTGTGCACAAAAAAAAGTTTCTTCCAAATATGGGAGAGTTTGACAACGGTACGTCAGGTATTGTGGTATTGGCGCTGTAAGAAAAATCAGTTATGTTTGAATAATTATTATGAACTCTAGAACTAGCATTAATATGTATTGTGTGACAGCCCGAATCTCACCATGAACAAGCGCATATACCCTGCCTGGCTTTTTAATGTTTCAAAGATTAAATTTTTCTTTTGTATTCTTTTATTTGTGTTGGGTGGATCTCCTGAATGTAAAAACCTATCCTTACATGAATATATACGTAAAACATATGACTAGGTTCAATTTATAAACATGTAGAATGTTTTAAAAATAAATTGTATAAAACCACACTGTTTTAATGGTATCACAGTTTTCCGAGGAACATATTAAATGGGTGCTCTTTTTAGAGAACTATGAGACGCCGTTAAATACGGCAAGCTTACTTATCAATCACGTTACATCATCAATCCGCAATAACCTAAAGGCACATCAGCAGCACATATTTGGTAAGATCACCGATTAATAAATAAAATTAGCATTCCTCAATCCTACTGCGCAATACTGAATTTATCACGTGCAATTTTACACTGCGGTGCACTGAAGTTGAACACTCCACATGCCTCCAGCATTTGGTGTACGAAATGTGATCGCTGCGGTCGACTTTTAGCCCGAGAACTTCACGGACTCGAAAGTCGCGCTTAGCACCGTAACGTCCCGGGAGAAGCTTTGCAAGAAAGCGGTAAAGTTGGCATACATTGCGCTGCTTACATGTATTACATAACCATATTATTACAGAGTACACGCATTACATAACTCAACCGGCTAACCCTCTAATCATGTCAGTGGAGAAACTATAGTGAAAAAATGCTGTTGGATGAGAATGCTCATGTGACGACAGTGGCATAACAGAAAACTTTTGTGAACCAGCCCTTGTTGCTGCCCTACGAGACCACCTGACAATTTCGAAACCTGCTTAGCTTTCTATAGTGTGAGAATTGCACGCATTTCGAGATCCGCTCTGAAGTAGGTCTGGTGTCTAAGTAAAGAATCCATGTTATCTACTCTGCTGAATGTCTTCAGCATACACACATACACATATGCTGTAAATGTTTTTTTTTATGAACACACAGTTTCTTTTTGTTATAAGTGGGGTTTAACGTCCCAAAACCACCATATTGTCACGGGGTCGTGACGTGGCCGAAGACAGGAGACTGTGTTGGAATTTAACTGTTTATTTGGGTGAACCTATGCCCGGTAAACGGAAAATTCATTACAGTAGCAGTGATAGCGGCGAACGGAGTGTCGGCCGTCGATCAACTACCCACCAGCGGCGAAGTGCGTCGACATTTATACTCTTGCCATCGAATGTTCTAGTGTTATCGCTGGCGGTGACGTAGGTTCCAGAATAATCTGTACAGTTCGCAGAGTGGGCGTGATCTTATCGAAATAATCTACTAAAGCCAGGGGGGTGAAACTTCGCGGTTTTTCTGTCCCGTGACCGCAGCGATCCTAACGTTTGGGGGCTGTACTACCTAAATGAACGTTATTGCTCTATTTTATAGTTATTACTAGGTTACTCATTAACTTCGGAGTTTTTACTACACAAGTGAACCTAGAGGTTGCAGTTCGAGATTGCGAAAATAAGAGCGCCACCCGAAGTGGAAAACGGGAACTGCGCAGTCGTCCTATCTCTCACGGCGAAAAAGGGGCGTTTCTTTTCGCGCGCCCATGTATGCTACAGCCTGCGGTGTCCCAAAGGCCGCTTTTACCGCTGTAAAGTTTGTTTTAGCGAAACCCATGCAAGATTCAGCCAAACAGACGCATCCATGGATTCTCGCCGTCATCACAAATCGTGCTGCGCTGAGTGGTGTCGGAATTCTTCACGACACACCGACATAAAATTCTTTCGGATCCCGGCGGACGAAAGGTACGATCTGCATGCTGCTCGTTTTGTCTTTCTACGCTTGCACGGCATATCAGGATGCGGTTGCTGCAGTAGCTGTGTAATTTAATTGAGCTACCCGTACATGATTTATTCATTAAATTCTGATTGTCTGCTTTTCGGCTTCAATTATACATGACATGCACGGCAGAGCATCTGGAAATTATTCCAGCGAATACATTTGCTACGCACGATTGTTTATACTTGCGTTTTCAATTTAATGCGTTTCGATCGTGCATTGCATTTCGATGTTGCACTTTGGCTCAAGGCAATGCAAGGCATATCACAAATGTATTTGTAGCGGCATATACAGTAACTAATAAAACAGTGTAAGCTTATCCGCACTCTTTTTATTACCTTTTGATTGCTTGCGTTCAGTCTGTTGTCGTTGCATGCGTTATTATTATTCTTGAATATTATCAGCCTATTTATGTCCATAGCTGGAGGAAGGCGATTCCCATAATCTTTTGGCTATAAGGGAGGGTCCATATACGTTCATAGCATGTGTTGTTAGTACTATGTTAATTAAGTACTGAGTACATAAATTATTACACTTGCGAGTTTAGACGGATGTTATTACATTATTGCGTTTCAATTGTGTGTTTTTATTTTGGCCTCACGTAAATCCACGGCATATTGCAGAGGAATTTAGCAATAAATTTATAAAGTAATAATTTATAATGTATACTTCAATTTCATGTTTTCAGTTTCAGCCTTGAGTACAATTACGATATATTTACAAGAATGCAATTGCAGCTAAAAGCCCATAAATAATTGGACAATGTAAACTGACGTGTTCTACAAATTTATTACCGGTTTTAATAAGGTTTTTATGAAAGATTTGCAGCAGGGCGCGAGAAATACCCGAGGAATACGCAGTGCGCGAGGGTATATATGTACGAATAGTTGTTTAGAGATTTTGGTGTGGGATGATTGCTATTGTCTGCAAAAATATATTTTGAATTAGGAGGAAAGCTGGGGTCGTTGCCACCAAACATTACTATCGCGCAAGTAGAAGCATGTATCCGCGTCTCTTAATAATAAAGACAGATTTTAGTTTAAAGTTTGCTTTCAGGATTGCTATCACAAGTCGTCTTGGTTACAAAATTCAATCAAGAAAGGAAGATGAGAAATGTATCAAATAACGCTTACTTCGAATAAAGATGCCAGTTTTCACTCAAAGCTATCCATCTACGCCTGAAAACAGAAATAAATCCATTCTAACCCAAATATAACACACGCACACATTATATTTTCCAGATCTCGCGCTTGGCTTCAGTATGCGAGACGGCAGGACCTGGCTCATTTACCACCTCGTCAGATCTACAGCAGCTACCGCCTGTGCTCTGCCCATTTCACGAGCAGAGACTACGCAGACCCTGGACAGACAAGGCTGCTAAGATGTGCTGTGCCAACAGTTTCCATCTTTGGCGATGAGCAGACACACGTCGAAAGTCCAGGTGGGAATACTGTAAAGTGATCATACAACAGCACAAACTTTCATGCCTCTACATCTATTTACAGAAATGTCTTAATACTCAATATGTGTACCTGTCCGAGTTATCATGACTCAGTATTTTTAAGATTCTCGCGAAGATTACACCAACAATACCAACGCATGGGGTACACAGCATCCATGGATTCGCCGGCATGATTTTGCTGGTAGATATAACTAGCTAAGTAAAAAATTTGCCGGCTTCACAGTCGTTAAATTTAGAGCAAACGTCTCACTCAAAACGTTCTACAAGTAACCTCCTCGATTCTGATTCAGTTGTCTCTGCTATTTTACCCGTGGCGTAGTGTTTTACAGGAAAAGGCGAAAATGACCTCATAACTTGCGAGAGTACTCCATGTGGCGCGTTATCAGCTATTTCACACATGGCGAGTGAGTAGCGGCCAACTTGGTGTCGCTGTTAAAACAATTGCGCGATAGCTCTGACAGTGGGAGCATTAGAACTGGCCTTTTAGAAAGATATATATATATATATATATATTCTACGACACCCTAGTTCAAAGTCGCTTTTAAAATTAAGAATCCAAAAGGTACTTTATTTTTATTAGCTTTATTATTACAAAATTACTTTTATTTTCAATGGGCCAAATAAGTGTAATTGGCAAGAATTCGGTTATGCGCTAGGTCATCACGGGCACCACGATGTTAACCTGTTCTAGGCACATCGCATTAAGATTTTTAAAATATTGGTTTAGGATAGTTGGGACACCCATATATTTAGTGAGTGACACGTAGCGTTCTCTTTTTGTGTGTTTACACTTTTTTTATTACTCGTACTGAGACATAATACGCGAGGAGACCAATTATTAGTGAGAAAACGCCCTGAGTGATTGTAATTGCAAATATTTAATGTGACGCCTAATACCAGCTGTATGTATGTCACGCTGAAATCTGTGCTCCGCCAATTTCTCTTCACAGGCTCTCCTTGGCCCGCGAATACCACTGCAATGCCCGCTCACAGCGCCGATGAAGAAGTTCAACAGACTGAGCCCTCATGTACGCAAATTGTATTGCTCTCTAAGCTCTTTAAAACTATTCCAGATAAATTAATGCCCTGCAGCTATCGTTTTAATGTCACGTACCATTTAACAGATCCTAAAGTGCACTAGGGTGTCAGCTGGGCGAGCTAGTTCATTGCTAGGGGACGAGAACCAGAGCGATGTATACCGAAAGGCAGGACGAGACGAGTGCTTGTCCAATACCTTTCTTGCTTGTTTGTTGCCTCCTAAGAGGGATTAGTGCCCCGCCACGGTGGTCTAGTAGTTATGGCGCTCGACTGCTGACCCGCAGGTCGCGGGATCGAATCCCGGCCGCAGCGGCTGCATTTTCGATGGAGGCGAAAATGTTGTAGGCCCGTGTGCTCAGATTTGGGCGCACGTTAAAGAACCCCAGGTGGTCGAAATTTCCGGAGCCCTCCACTACGGCGTCCCTCATAATCATATCGTGGTTTTGGAACGTTAAACCCCAGATATTATTATTATTATTATAAGAGGGATTAGTGTTTTTTGAAGAAGACTATGAATTCGTTGTTTTTTCCTAAACATACCATTTTAAAGATATAACCAATAATGTTTGTTAACAAGGAGTATGCTAATGATTAGGAAAAATTAGTTGACGCTTCATGTTGCCCACGATGCTTATACATGCCATTAGTAGGCTCAATGCCCAGCAGTGTGCTTATCAGAGGCCTGTTCCCAATGCCCCAAGTTTGAATAAGTGAAGGATCGAGAACTAAATATGACCAACTGATTACTCATGGAAGTAATCACTTCAATTCTAAAAGACGCTAGAACTTTTACAAGGTTTAAAGATCATGGTCAGCTTTCACAAAAACACATTATAAATGAGCTTTTTTTCTAAATCTTTAAGGTTCTAATCCAGCGGGTCGACAACACAAGCCTTCTAGGTGCTCGCCCCGGACAGCCAGAAAAATGAAGAACCTGGAGAAGATAAATTCAAGGCTTCGGAAGGCACTGTAAAGAATTGGCAAGAGAAAGGTTAAAAAGCTTTCCCAGTCCGAGGCGTTGAATGCTATCAGGCCCTGCGTCCACAAGACATTCTTTAGATTGCTTGAGACTCAAGTTAAAATTAATGGCGTGAAACGTAGAGGACGGAGGTGGTCGCCCGAGCACCGCCAGTTCGCTTTACACTTATACTTTCATGGTCCGAAAGCGTACAGACATCTGTCAAGACTGCTTGACATGCCAACTGTGAGGTCGCTAAAGCAGTGGTTATCAAATATTCCGATGACTCCCGGAGTTATTCCAACCGCTATTGAAGCCCTCGAAGAAGCTACCTGAAATTGGCATTTAACAGATCGTGCGTGCACATTAATATTTGACGAAATGTCCTTGAAGGAACATCTGCAGTATGATGCAAAGCATGACATTGTGATGGGATTCTCCGATGACGGTAGGCAAAGAACACCAGCCGTGGCAAATTCAGCGCTCCTGATACTTGTGGCAGGCATTTCAGAAACGTGGATTCAGCCTGTTGCTTACACGGTATCAAGGACCAAAACGCCCGCAGATACTCTTCATCATCTGATCATAACATTAATCAAGCAGCTGCAGGGAGCTCGGTTATTTGTGAAGGCGCTCATCTGCGACCAGGGGGGAAGCAACATCACTTTGGCAAGTAAGCTAGGTGTGACGCCTGAAGAGCCGTTTTTCGTGCTTGAAGGCCGCAAGATTTATTTCCTATATGACACACCACACTTACTTAAATGCACAAGGAATAATCTGCGCGCACCTCACAAGCTCCATATCGGGCAAGAAATTCTGGATTGGTCTTTCATTACGCAACTATACGAAAGCTCGCATCCTCTCAAACTCAAATTGGCGAAGAAACTAACCGACAACCACATTTACCGGAAGCCTTTCAATAACATGAAAGTTAAATATGCCAGCCAGGTGATGAGCGAATCGGTCTCAGTAACCATTGATGTATTCATTGCTCTTGGCGTGTTGCCGGCATGCGCCAAACCAACAGCTGATTTTCTCGAGAAGATAGATAAGTTATTCGACTGTCTGAATAGCTCTTCTGTAAAAAAAGCCAGTGACAAGTTACGTTATGCAATTTCGGGAGGGTCCAAACACCTAGCCTTTTTGCGGGAGTGCCTGTCGTGGGTTGAAAGGTGGAAACTTGACGGGCCTCGGCAACCACACACAGTTGAGGCATGGAAGGTCACCTTAAAGGCTATCCTTCTCCTCTGGGACGACCTCTTCCAAGATTTTGATTTTCGTGTTCTCTTGACTCGCTGGCTACAGCAGGACCCCCTGGAGAACCTTTTCGGGCTTCTTAGATTAAAGCATGGCTGCAATGACAACCCAAATGTGCTTCAGTTCACATCAGGTCTGAAACACATTTCTGTTGGCAAACTGGTTGCCCTTTTTTCAGAAGGAAACTGTGAACAGGATCGCAGCACTGTGTTGGCACAAATGTCAGAGCCACCTGATTCGCTTCCTACTACTTGTGATGCAGCACCAACAGTCGATATGCTTCCTGATGAGGAACAGCCCGTTAGCCATGATATAGCAGAGGATAACGTTCTCTACTATGTTGGGGGATATCTCGTACGGCAATTTTTGTTGCACAGGCCTCCACACTGTGTGTGCAACACCCTTTTGAAGAATGCCGACCGCCAGCTTTGTGCATAACACCAGTATTTTGCTATGTTTAAGGCAAGCAACATCTCCTCAGATTTATTTGGCAATGTAACAATGCCTTCTGACGAATGCTTTCAGGATATTAAGGCCTTGGAAGCTTGCTTTTTGGAATATATCGGTGTTGTGGTGCACCTGCCTAATGTGAGTGGAGTTTTGGCAGGCATTTTGCACAGTTGTATGGGAAGGCAAAAATTCTGCTCTGAAGAATGCAAGAAAGCCTTTGTGCACCTCTTTGCAAGGATTCGCCTGTTGTGGCATATTCGCTTCGTGAACATCTCCTTGGCTAAACAACGCACCAGAAAATCTGCTGCAGCACGAAAAATTCGGAAGTTTTTGTAACTTTTAGGATTCTGTTTGCATATTTGAGGTCTTGAAAAACTGAGCGCTCAGAAAACACGGACGACAAAAAGACACACATATGCGCAAAAGTAGGCGCTACTTCCATATTTTTGAGTCACCGCTACTTCTATAGCTGAGGTCACTATTTTCTGCCTCTGAAGCGGACATGTGTGTGTACTATTTATCTGCTTGTATTTTGTTTTTGGTTTTTTCATTAAGCAATATAGGTATGTTACGCTGAAGAAAGCATAAACCCTTCGTGTTATTTTATGAGAACACTCTATAGTGGCTTCAGTATTTTGTAAATTTTTGCTTAAGCTTTTATAAAGAAACCTGATGCTGAATAGAAAATGTAGCAATGTCTAACTCCGGTACCTTATGGTTTTTGTATCATTTCCTCTTGCATCCTAAGTGTGCGGTGTGCCGTATTATCTTGTCCCACTCATGGGATGATATTATATAGGGATACGTGCTGTGAACTTGTGTATAGTTATTACTGTTTTTCTTTTGTCTTTGTATATACGTATGTGCGGCAATGTGCACTGGATTGATACTAGGTTATTAGCATGCTGGCATGTGCGGTCCACTTTTGTATGCGACCAAAAACGTAAAACATTCAAGTTGTATTTGTACTGCATAAACCGTACGTTTAGGCAATAAAACATTCAAACAAACTCTGCTCTTTATTCTTGTCTAATTTATGTGTACACGTAAACAAAAACAACGTCTTACTTAGAATAAGTAGTGCACAAATAGGTGGATGGGCAGACCATCAATCAGAACGCAATGATGGCCGTTTTCATCATGTGGCGCGTTGCGCAACAGGAAGAAGGTCGCGTGCTCGCCATCTGAATACCTTCCACTTGCTCAATTTGGCTTGCTGGTGCATCCCTATTGAATTTGGCGCTAAATCCCCCCCCCCCCCTCGCCACTCGGATCCTCAGTCCTCATCAAGATGGCATCCCCCAGTGCATGTCTGCAATGCACCGCCATGTTTTCGTACCGCCCCCAAACACCAGGCGTTCGTCCGGCGCTGCGAGCGAATATCGCGTTCCATGGAGGTTATAGGAAGTTTCACTCCCCTGCTAAAGCCTGCAAGCTTCTCGAAAACTGCAGGCGTGGTTTGCGCTGAGCATTGTGTAGTGTTTTGGGGCGATAACAAAACTTGAGAAATAGAACGTGGCATTGAGGTTATGAGAGACGGCATTGTGGAGGACTCCGGAAATTTTGAGCACCTGGGGTTCTTTCACGTGCCCCAAAATCTGAGCACATGGGCGTACAGCATTTCCACTTCCATCGGAAATGCAGCCGCCGCAGCCGGAATTTGATTCCGCGACCTGTGGGCCAGCAGCCGAGTACCTTAGCCACTAGACCACCGCGGCGGGGCTTTGTTTTTGCTATGATGACCTCTTTTGGTCAGACGCTGCGCCGGGAGTCAAAGGTTCTAAACAGGAACGTGGGGTGATATTACCCTGGCGGTCACTGCCATACATGTATATAATAGTGCTAACGACTTTACAAGCGTATTCTCGGTCCGGATTGCGTAGTGACTTCAATAGCTTCTTGCTGTTTTATGTCTAAAAACAGCGGTGTGGTTATGATAGATGCCGCAGCGAAGGGCCACGCTAGTTTGAACTACCTTTAGTGTTATATAACGGGAACACGGGTCTCTAGCACCTTGCATCGGCATTTCCATCGAGGCTAAATGCTAGTTAAAAAATACCGATAGAGCACACCGAAGTGCACGTTGAAGATCACCAGCTGGTCGAAATTTTCGAGGCCGTTTTCAACGGCGTTCCTTACGATTACATCTTGGTTGTGGGGTACAATACACCAACAATTCACTTCACTTCACTTCACTTTTATTTCCTTAAAGACCCCCTGTAGGGGTATTACATAAGGGGTGGTGCATAACAAAAAAAAAAAGAGAACTATACAACGGTGTTTTTAATGGCTTCTGCAAACATAGATGGGTTAGTGATGGCACAGATGGCGTGAGGAAGGCCATTCCAGTCTTTTGCTGCTCTTACGAAAAAGGAGGCTTGGAATACAGTGGTCCGGGTACGTGGTAATGCGACTTGTAACGGATGACCAGTGCGATGGGATATGTGCGGAGGGGGCGTGATGTACGGTGGATGATTCAGTGAACTGAAATAAAACATATGAAAAAGAGAGAGGGTGGCACACCGTCGGCGTGAAACAAGGGTTTCTAGACCTGATTCCGCCTTTAGAGATGAGATGCTGATATCGTACGAATATGCAGAATGAATTATTCATTCAATTATTCATATTCAAACAATTATTCATATATTAATATTGATTATTTCGCGTTCAGCGATACGAGGCCGCCGAGGTCGGGATTCGATCCCACAGCCTCCGAATGAGTGGTTGACCTCCAAAAGCACGCGTCCACCACAGCGCGTTGCGTAACGAATTCATACCTTGATGCAAGGTAAATTCCGCGCAGGGCGATATAGCCACTTTTCTTCAAGCTAGGCAGCTTAAAGTGGATAAGTATAGTGCACACATTCTTGAGCTGAGATATGTAACACAAGAAAACGGTGAGCCTATTGACGACGGTGAAGTTTACGATTACCGAGGCCCTTATCGAGATATGCATGGGATAGCAGGCAAGCACAAACGCATATAATTGGATTTGTAAGCAACCTTCTCCGATCGTTTTCGATGGGTCACATTTCGTAAGAAACAACCTAATCAACACACTGTACAAAGTGCGGATGCAGGATATCCTACAAAGCCTAGGAGAAAAGGCAGAGCGTTACGTACACTTTCGACTGGCTTCCCCCGTAACCAGAACGTGCTCACTTTGAGAGCTTCGGTGTAATGTTCGTGGTACAGAGAACCCATTCTGGGCGTCATGAGGGTCACAGCTGCTCGTCCGCGGGCACCAAACTTAGCGAACAGCCAACAAGGCGACGGCAACGGCTTCGAAC